GTTAATCTAATAGAAAATGCATTTGTTGTATTTTCCTGCTAATGTGGTAACAAAATAGGTATTTGTCAGTCTTAAAGGTATCATTTTCATTGACCACATTTATATGCACTTCATTTTCAATTAAAGTATATTGTTGTCAAGCTTTCATTCAGAAAAGAGGTTTACATACTCTAAAGCTATTGGAATTACAGGTTTTTATTCTTTGTCATGCTTTATGCTGTATTTGAGTGATTCTGAACTCGGATCATTTTAATTAATGCCTCTGACAGCAGCACACAAGCGTAGAAAAAATGTAAACCATAAGACTCTTATGTTGCCTGTCTTTATATTGTCCTTCAAAAAAAAGTATTAGAAATTTGCCCCGTTTATTTATTTTTTTGTTTGTTTTTGTTTAAGTATCACTGTCTGGTTTGGGCATGTGAATATTCAGAATAAACTGTTTATTTGACCAAAAATTCCAGTTAACGTAAGCATGTTGGAGCAAAAATGTATTCAGATTTCTTGTAACCAGAATATTGGCATACCTGGTTCTGTTAATGGTTTTGCAATATAAACATCTACATATCATTTATGTGATCATTGTATGCAGTCTAAAACTTGTAAGGGTACCTCAAGATGACTTAAAATAAAAAAATTACAAATTTGGCTCAGTGGTAGAGCATTGCATTAGCAGCGCAAACGTCATGGGTTAAATTCCCAGGGAACACACATACTGATAAAACGTGTATAGCCTGAATGCACTGTAAGTCGCTTTGGATAAAAGTGTCTGCTAAATGCATAAATTTAATTTTAATTTAATTTAAAATAATCTAGCTCAAATCTAAATTTAAATGCTTAAAAGCGTCTGCTAAATGCATAAATTTAATTTTAATTTAATTTAAAATAATCTAGCTCAAATCTAAATTTAAATGCTTAAAAAAAAAACAGTATAATAAAATGTAAACAAGAGCATTGTGATGGTTGTGTTTATTGTCTGCCAGAGCTACAAGCCTGAGTCCTTCAGCACTAGGGATGTAACGGTATGAAAATTTCTTATCACGATTATAGTGACCAAAATGATCATGCTTTTCAGTATTATCACGGTATTGTTCAAATGTGCTGGAGATGTTAAAAAAGTACCGACACATAAATCACTTCACCAAGTTTTATATTTAAAAATTAACAAACAACCAATAAAATGACTTATTGTTTGCATAATCACTAAAACAATAACATTACCAATGATGTTCGGATTTTAAATGACAACTTGACTGTCAACAGTTTAATAGCATGTTGAAATATCTAATGTCAATGTTCAAATAAAGCTTTGAAAAAGTTTAATAAAAGGGTAAACCTCACATTTCAGCCTTTAAATAAAGAAAAGATACAAGTCAAAATGATAATTGATTAATAAATGAATGTTGTTTTTTTATCTGCTCCATAAATAATTCTAGATGACTTATCTGAATTGTTTAAATGTGTAGAATCCACACAAGCTTGTTTTTCATCAACCAGTCAAAATTTACAGCAGGGCATGCAAATTCGGTCCGTTTTTGGCCAGACCGAAACTACACACAGGCTGAATGTAAATTATAAGTCTCTGTAAATCCACTCGCTGACACTAGGTGGCGTTTATGGAAAAGCAGAATTCGAGCCGTTTCCCGTAACCTCTGTGGACAAAGCAGTTTTGCGATTAAGAACACTTCCTTCAGGTATTACATGGAGCGATGATGAAAACAAAATGCCATCGATTCTTTTCTGAAGACAGTCAGAACCTTCAGAGGTACATTCATATAATTAATTCATTCATACATTCATTTGTATAATTTCCAAATGATAACACGTGAGACTGTTACTTAAAACTGTGCTTTATGCTGGACGGTATTTATTTATCGCGAGTTGTACAAATCGCAGTAATCTAATACGGTTTTAATGATAACTAAAAGATGAAACGGTAATACTAACCGTGGGGAATTTTATCATGATTTATCATCAAACCGGTAATCGTTACATCCCTATTCAGCACAGTGCTAACTCATTGACGCCTGGGGGAGCGGGAAAGCCTGAGTGCAGTGTTTACACAGGAATAATGATTAACATATGTTCTCCTCTCTGTCTCAGGTAAACGTGGTGTGCTGAAGCGGCCTTGGTCTGAGGCAGAGCGGGCAGCTGTTGAGACCCACCTGGTGCAAAACATCATAGAGCTGCGAGTGCCGGCTAAAGCGGAATGTGAGCGCTGCCTGGAGCTCTGCCCCCTGCTGGTCACCAACCACCGGGACTGGAGGGCTGTGAAATTCTACTGCCACAACCGTATACAGCTGCTCAAGAAAACCCAGCAGAGACAGGGTCCACCCGCCCTGTCCGTCTGCTGAGGCTGTGATTTAGCACGCTGCTCGGAAGGGTCAGATGTGTAAGGGAGGGGATGTGAGGGAAAATATTGACATGGTACAGTCACAGTAAACGCAGTACAAATGCTTTAATTAATATGATGTTGTGTGTGATTTGTGTCCGGTGTGTAAAACGGAAAATGGTACCAGTCTGGGAAGCAGACGGAAATGCACACTTGTTGCAATTTTTCTGTCTGCAGATGACCAGTAAGTTTTTGTGTTGCTGGCTTAAATGTAGATGACCATTTTTGGCCAGCTGTAAGTCTGAATGGCTTTGCTCTCTCCCTTTGGCCATGCCTCTATCTCTCCAATGACAGAGAAACAGGCAGACTGAGCAACTTGTGCCTTGATGGGAGTCAAACTTCAGTTTCATTCACATTTGAGAACATTTTACTGTTATTTACTAATTTCATAATTTTTGATGAAATGAAGGAATATGCATAAGAAATGGGATTTAACAAAAGAAGGTCCATTTTTGCTTACCATCTTTGCTCATTAAAATGTTTTTAAACCAACCTGAATTGAAACATTTAATTTAAAGTTTCTTTGTTCCATAAAACCCACTTTTGTTCCTACCATTTTAAGCCTTATGTGATTTTAATTACATGGTTCTGTTTTCATTTACAGTATTCTTGTTGTCAAACCAGTATGACTTTCCTTGTTCAGTAGAACACTCAGTAGAAATTTGAATGATTTTTGAATGCTCTTGTCTTTTGCAATTCCAAATGCAAATAAAAATATATGGCATCAATCTAGTGCACAGATTCATATGAATGACATTTATGGCGTTTTTGATGTTTGTGCATTATTAATCGTAATTACATGAACAAAAATGACCAGAACTTTCTTGAGAATTCCTACTTTTGTGCTCCACGGAAGAAAGTCATGCAGGTTTGTAAGAACATGTGAGGGAGGATTTATTTTGGGGTTCTTTTAATTAATTTCAATCCATTGAAGTTAGCGGTTTGGCACTGTAGCTTGTTCAGCATTGAAAAATAAGCACCTATCTGTCCTGTGCGGTAGAAGTGGACATGAGTGAGCAGATGAGTTTAGTTCACTTGTTTGCATTGTATTCATCCATCAAATCCATATGGAAATTTAAACTGTGTATTGGAAACACATGATAACCACACGTAACACCTCAGTTTATACTTTTTATATATCTATCTACTTGGCTGTTTTGTTATCCTTTGTTCTTTCAAACTTTGCAATGTATATATGTACACACACATATTGTTGTTACTGTTAACAGTGGTATTGTTATAATTATTAAATCTTACTGTGGTAAGTGTTCCATTTCCACTTTATGTGCATACTGAATGTAAATATTTGCAGAAAAAAAAGAGCACGATGTTAATACACCGTAGGCAAGACAAGCTTGTTTTTGTGTTGTCTGTGCGTTTTTTAAGTTGTCTGAAATGATAATAATAAAAATGTTTTGTTTGTAATTCTAGACTTATTTGTGCTGCTTTTATAGAAAATGCAGAATAACAGCAAAAAAAAAAATCCTTACAATTCTGTCCAAAGATTTCAATCTAGCAATGTTCTGTGCTGTATTCATTTGATCTAATTTAATTTGGTATTGTTCATTACATTTTAAATGGAGCAATTTGTCTATTTTTTATAAGCGCAGTACATAATCTCTTTCCCTTATTGATCACTGTGTCATTGCACTCTGCACTGACAGCTTTGATTGGATAGTGAGTGGCACAGTTGTTTGTTTTGCTCCAGTCAAAAAGGTTTGTTTGCATTAAATGTTAGAAATCAAGCTCCTGCTGTCTCTAGTAGTTGGTCCAATATCATTTTTTTTTTTGTTTTTTTTGTGATTCTGCAATTTTCTGAAATGTAGATATGTAACGACAACAATGTATTTGATATTCCTCCGAATGTTATTGGTATGCATGCACTATGCAGTAGTAGCTTTGGATGTCTATGAATGTTAGCAGCACACAGATGAATGTTTTTGGGTATATACACTAAAAAAAACATTGGTGTAGAAACAATTTTCCATCAGAAATTGCTAGTAAATATCACAAACGATTACAAAGAAACAACAAGTAGCAATGAATTAAATGTGAACTTTTGAGGTAGAAGGTGTTAGTCTGACAGCATAAACATGGCAAATGTAAAAAAATAATAATTGAATCTGCAATTAGGGGAAGTGCCAGGATGAGATCCTGTGTGGAGATGAACAGGAACCGTTGACTCGCATGAAGGACATGGACATGCCTGTTCATTTGATTTTTAATATTCAACAGGCAAGGTTGTGTGTAGCTGTACGCAAATCAAATTTTCATAATACTGATTCTACTAATTCGGAGAAAAAATATAAACATGAATTTATGTGGTGACATTTAAAAACTTTTAACAATGTGGCACTTTTCTTTCACTTTTTGGCCTCTGAATGTAAGAATTTTGTAAGGACATTTTTATGATTATGTGTGTAAGCTTCTCTTTTCTTTGAATTAAATGTTCTGAGCTTACGCATTAAAGTATTTTCCATATGCAAACTTTAGGGCTAGGGTCTATGATTATTACAAAATTAATAATAACTAATCATTTTTAAAAAAATAACATTTGGATTTGTGCCTGTAATGTTTAAAGAGGTCATGAGACTCAAAAGTGTACTGTATAGATGTAAAGTGTCAATTATTGTTCACTAGGTACTAACTCACCCATTGACTCTGGTGTCAGATGGACTGACTGTTCTGTGGTGGACTGGACATGCTGAGAGTCACTCAGGACAATAACGGCTTTCCTTCCTGTAAAAAAGTTCAAGTCAATATATACACAACTATGACAACAAATGGAAGTTATCTTGTCAAGTTAACAACAAGGGTAACAGAGGTAGAATTGGTTTGAAAAAAGTGCAGAAAGGTATACAGTAAAAGGCAAAAATCTATATTGAATTAAAAAAAAAAAAACATACTCCCTAGTCCGAGAGACACATTGTAGGTGATGCCTCCAGAGAGGGTGAGCAGAAAGAGTGAAAAGCAGAAATGGGAGAGCAATTGAAAGTCATTTAAAAATTGAAGTAAGTAAGACAAACTATAATATGTTACAAAGAAACACCAATTACACAAATGTAAAGTGTATTAGAGCAAACATTAAAACACCAAACTACAATCAAATAATCAAAATTAAGAAGAAGAAAAAAGCAACTGCATAGAATATGATGTTTACCTGGCAGACTCCACAACCCAGACACCTCTAATGTTTTCAACTTTCTTTCAAGTTCTGCAACCCGGTTACCCAGGATCCTGTTTAAATATATGCAAACCAGCTACATTTCACTTTTTAACACTATTCAGTATGGAAGGATATTCTGGACAATTTTCAAAAGGAATTGCAAATTGTATTTTTAATTGCGTTAATTGTGACATAATCCAAACGCAATTGCAAATCTTGCATTACCGTTTGAATTTTCACTTTCGCGAACGCACAGTGGCTGCCAAATTTGAAATGAAAAAGAAAAGTCCATTTGCAACTGTATTTCCCATATCTGACGAGTTATGAGCCTGTCATATTTAAATAGCAATATTAATTACCTTGTCTGCTTTTTCACTCTCTCTGCATCACGCATGTAACCTGCCAAAACTCAAATGGAATCGCAATTCCTTTTGAAAATTGTCCAGAATATTCTTCCATAATTCTGTAAAAATAAGAATGCTATGGCTTAACTTCCATCTTGGCAGGATTATTATAATGAACAAAAACCATTAAAACAACTGTTGTTCATTTAAATAAAGCCATAATAAAATAAAATACAAAAAATAACAAACTAAAGAATGTTAAATGTTGCCTCGGTAATTAAAATTAAGCTGAAGCACTAAAATTACAAGTTAGAAATAAATAAGAACTAAAACTGAAATAATACAAATATATTAAACCTAAATAGTAACATTTAAAAAAATACATTGATAAAAATAAAAATAGTAACATATAAAAAAATTAAATGCACTGATAAAAATAAAATGCACATTTTACAACAAAATTTAAAGAAATTTAAAAATGAAAACTGAAAATATAAAAATAAATGCAAATCTAAAATATTAACCCTTTAACTGTCACTCCCGTTTTTGAACAAAGACTTGAAAGTGCACTATCCAAACTTACATTTTTATAATTCATGAATGAAAACATTTGTAATATGACTTTGATGTACCATTTCCATGGTAATGCAATGTCTGATTTTAAAATGGTTTTCAAAGAATGAATTTTGAGATTTTAAGCTTTCAATTGATATATAACAACAAAGAAAGACTTTTTGTGACAAAGGTCAGAACTTCTGTTATGATGTAGATTTTTGAGGTCCACTCTAGTCATAAAATAATCTATTACTTTTCCTACATAATTTGTAACGTGTAAAACAGTGGTAAAATATCTATTTAGGAGTCTTAGACCTTTCCAATGATATATAGCTTGTCATGATTAGATTAGGATTTATTTGCATTATAGTGAAGTAAACTTAGGTGTCCCACTGGGGGGGGACGGGTGACAGTTAATGAAAACTATAATAGCATATAAATAAACCATTCGAAAGTAACACTGTATCTTAGGTGCTTTCCAGCACAGAAAATTAGATGACAGTTGTCACGATGTAACATACTTGTTGGTTTGCCGTTGATGCTGAATGACCATGTTCTTCTCATGAATGGTCTCCAGCAGAGCAGTGGCCAGGGACTTCAGGTCACTGATGGACTGCGAAGTGACCGGGAGACTGCAGCCATTCTCCTCTGACAGCAACAGCTCTTGTACTGGAAACATATTAGCTGTAACTTTGCTTCTGAGGATTTTTCTTTCAAATAATTGTATATTAATTAAAGAAGAATACTGGTAAGGCACGGAATTGTTACTGTCTGGATTCTGTAGAAGTCTTGTGTGGTACCTTGCTTAGCAGAGAGGACTCCTGTCAGAGCACTGCTGTTGGACTTGCCATACACTTTACTGTTCTTCTTGCTTTCCAAAGCACTCTGAAATAAAACACATTGGCGAAATAAAACATCAATGAACTTATACATAACTAAAGTGAATAATTATTTTGTGTACATATACATTTGGTTGTATGTGTAATAAATACCTTGTACTTCATGACGTTTGATTTGAGGAGGGTGACCTCCTCCTGAAGCTGCATCAGCCGCTCATGCAGATATCTTAAAAAAATAAAGATATTTTGAAGACTTTAATATGATATACAGATAACCCACAAAATGTCTAGCTAAATAGCACTGTTGATAATATTTAGGCACCAACAAAACCAACTGGACATGTTAAAACGGCCATATCAATGACTGTAATGTCCCCACCAGACCAGCAGAGGTCAGTCACACATAGCAGTAATTTTGGAATCAGAATGTGATTTATGTGTACTAAAATAATAAATCTCTGCATATATGTTTATTAGTGTGTGTTTGTGTGTGTGTGTGTACTTGTTTATGCTACATTGTGTGCCCACAAGGACAGTAAACCCTGACATTTTTGACATCGTGGTCCCCACAAGGTGAAAAAATGATTACAAATAGTAAATTATGTTTATCTGAAAGTGTAACAATGCAAACAGGTTTTCTGTAAGGGGTGTAGGTTTAGGGTTAGGGGATAGAAAATATTGTTTGGTCAGTAAAAAAAATGAATAGAAGTCTATGGAAAGTCCCTACAATTCACAAAAACAAACGTGTGTGTGTGTTTACCTCCTGCTACCGCAGCAGTAGATGCTAAATGTGTAGGTGTGTAGATCCTGAACATGGCAACACTGACCTGTTCTCCATACACAGAGCATCAATATCCAGGATGCGATTCTCGTGGCTTCCCAAGATGTGGTTAATTTCCAGGTTTAGTCTGTGAGCTTTCTCCTGATAGACATTACGCTCTGCTCTCACGTCCTGTAATTCATCCGTGGCAGCCTTTAAGCTTTGTTCCAGTGCTTCATTCTGCAACACCATAGGGTTATGACACAGGACATATATTGCTTTTTTTACTCAACTAATTGTATCAGTGTTTTGTTTTTCTATGGCACCAGTGTCTACAAAAACTGTGAGATATGACACACAGTGATATTCTTGAGAACTAAAATGTGTGGAACGCCAAGAGCAATGCACCTGCTCTCGAGCTCTTTCTAACTGCTGAACAAGATCTTCTCTCTCATGGGCTGGAAAGTGACGAGTCCCCACCTCTTCATCCCCTAGACGCTGCTTTGCGATGGTCATCCTCAGCAGCTGTGGGATGGAAAGAATGCAGATATACCACAATATATGAACTGTGGTCAATGTGTTTGATTACATATTTGACCTTGCAAACATCTGCATGGGACTGAGTCATGCAAAGTAATCACCTCTGTGCAGAGTGGAACCCATACCTTGTTATCGCCCTGCACCTCCGCTAAACGTTGCTTCAGTTCTTTCATCTCCTCGCTCAGCTGTTTGTTCTGTTCTCGTGAGTCTCTCAGTAACTGAGCCATATTGACCTGTGGCAAGTTAAAAAAACAATGAATAACACCAAATGATAATCAGGGGTACTGGGTTGACTACTTCACAAACTACACATTTAGATTTCAGATCTGTAGTTTTATATATACAGTATATAACAGAGTACAGTTAAGAATATTTAAATAGGTGTTAAGCACAGACATACTTGGTTTCTTTTTTCAGGAGGCAGAGAAGGGTCGCCATCCTATTAATGAAAAAATAATCATTTAAATATACGTCATTATAACAACAATACCTCATACTTCTACATGAGTGTTTAATTCATTTAGAATAGAAATACATACTATAAGCTCTCTGTACTTTTTCTTGAGCCCTTGGTGGCGTTCACGGAGCTGGTTTGCCATCAGTTTAAACTGATCCCTTTCCTGCTGGCAGGTGTCCAGTTCTTTTGATAAGATCAGCAGTGCCTCCTTCTTACTCTCCAGCTTTCTCTTGCATACCAGGAACTAAGCAAACAAGGATACAACAGGGTTGTTAATGCTTCAATTCAACGCATTTAGTCACCACTGCCAGAAGAGGCAATGATCAAAGTGGGTTCCTGCATTGTTTTTTTTAGCAAAATCACCTAAGCTTTTTACTCAAAGGCCTCCGACTCATAAGTCTTGGTTACACTTTACTTTAAGGTGTCCTTGTTACACTGTAATTATACATTTGATTTAAGTACTGAGTAATATTATAACTACATACACTTACTATACGGTTAGGATTATTGTGTGTGTGTACTTGTTTATGCTACATTGTGTGCCCACAAGGACAGTAAACCCTGACATTTTTGACATCGTGGTCCCCACAAGGTGAAAAAATTATTACAAATAGTAAATTATGTTTATCTGAAAGTGTAACAATGCAAACAGGTTTTCTGTAAGGGGTGTAGGTTTAGGGTTAGGGGATAGAAAATATTGTTTGGTCAGTAAAAAAAATGAATAGAAGTCTATGGAAAGTCCCTACAATTCACAAAAACAAACGTGTGTGTGTGTTTACCTCCTGCTACCGCAGCAGTAGATGCTAAATGTGTAGGTGTGTAGATCCTGAACATGGCAACACTGACCTGTTCTCCATACACAGAGCATCAATATCCAGGATGCGATTCTCGTGGCTTCCCAAGATGTGGTTAATTTCCAGGTTTAGTCTGTGAGCTTTCTCCTGATAGACATTACGCTCTGCTCTCACGTCCTGTAATTCATCCGTGGCAGCCTTTAAGCTTTGTTCCAGTGCTTCATTCTGCAACACCATAGGGTTATGACACAGGACATATATTGCTTTTTTTACTCAACTAATTGTATCAGTGTTTTGTTTTTCTATGACACCAGTGTCTACAAAAACTGTGAGATATGACACACAGTGATATTCTTGAGAACTAAAATGTGTGGAACGCCAAGAGCAACGCACCTGCTCTCGAGCTCTTTCTAACTGCTGAACAAGATCTTCTCTCTCATGGGCTGGAAAGTGACGAGTCCCCACCTCTTCATCCCCTAGACGCTGCTTTGCGATGGTCATCCTCAGCAGCTGTGGGATGGAAAGAATGCAGATATACCACAATATATGAACTGTGGTCAATGTGTTTGATTACATATTTGACCTTGCAAACATCTGCATGGGACTGAGTCATGCAAAGTAATCACCTCTGTGCAGAGTGGAACCCATACCTTGTTATCGCCCTGCACCTCCGCTAAACGTTGCTTCAGTTCTTTCATCTCCTCGCTCAGCTGTTTGTTCTGTTCTCGTGAGTCTCTCAGTAACTGAGCCATATTGACCTGTGGCAAGTTAAAAAAACAATGAATAACACCAAATGATAATCAGGGGTACTGGGTTGACTACTTCACAAACTACACATTTAGATTTCAGATCTGTAGTTTTATATATACAGTATATAACAGAGTACAGTTAAGAATATTTAAATAGGTGTTAAGCACAGACATACTTGGTTTCTTTTTTCAGGAGGCAGAGAAGGGTCGCCATCCTATTAATGAAAAAATAATCATTTAAATATACGTCATTATAACAACAATACCTCATACTTCTACATGAGTGTTTAATTCATTTAGAATAGAAATACATACTATAAGCTCTCTGTACTTTTTCTTGAGCCCTTGGTGGCGTTCACGGAGCTGGTTTGCCATCAGTTTAAACTGATCCCTTTCCTGCTGGCAGGTGTCCAGTTCTTTTGATAAGATCAGCAGTGCCTCCTTCTTACTCTCCAGCTTTCTCTTGCATACCAGGAACTAAGCAAACAAGGATACAACAGGGTTGTTAATGCTTCAATTCAACGCATTTAGTCACCACTGCCAGAAGAGGCAATGATCAAAGTGGGTTCCTGCATTGTTTTTTTTAGCAAAATCACCTAAGCTTTTTACTCAAAGGCCTCCGACTCATAAGTCTTGGTTACACTTTACTTTAAGGTGTCCTTGTTACACTGTAATTATACATTTGATTTAAGTACTGAGTAATATTATAACTACATACACTTACTATACGGTTAGGATTATGGTTTGGCTTATGGTTACTTGCATGTAATTATGCATAATTAATTGTTATTATAATAGTAAGCACATGCAATATGTGTAACAAGGACACCTTAAAATAAAGTGTTACCAAAGTCTCTTCCAAATAATATTGACATTTTTCCCATGTAAGTGAAAATATTTCTATTGGCACTTTTGTTCAAATGCTTAGAAGTTTCTGCATTTGAGAACTTTTCATAGAAACCAGAAATGTCAATAAAGTACAATAATTACCCATAAATTCTTTAATTTATTAATTTTGGTTATTCCAGATGTTCTAGGAACTGTGTGTTCTGTAAGTTAATAAAACATTTTAGTTGAAGGCCAAAAATAAGAAATATGATTTCAATTTACATTAATTCTACATCTTGATTTTAGTGGCTTTAGCCTTTGCTGAAGTTAAGATTATGTATTAGGCCTACTTATTATTATTAACAGTACCTATTATTAATATTATTATTACTGAATTAAGACATCATGCAGTCACCTTGGAAGTTGGAAGTAAAGAACTAAATCCTACTTTTAAATTAATATAACCTTTGAAAAGCTAAACCAAACCTTTGACATTTCTAAATTTGCCAATGCACTTGAGAAGGGACATTAAAGTTCACAATTTATTCAAAAGATTATGTAAATACATTCTAAATCCATAGGGGCCTGTTATTGAGTTGTTATGGGTTTGAAAGTTCCCTAAATGAAAACATACAGACGACTATTTATATTTCTTTGTTATGTATTATTCCTGTATCCACCACTGTATTTTAAAATCATTATTTTTAAAATGATTTCAACGTTGCTTCAGTTCTTTCATCTCCTCGCTCAGCTGTTTGTTCTGTTCTCGTGAGTCTCTCAGTAACTGAGCCATATTGACCTGTGGCAAGTTAAAAAAACAATGAATAACACCAAATGATAATCAGGGGTACTGGGTTGACTACTTCACAAACTACACATTTAGATTTCAGATCTGTAGTTTTATATATACAGTATATAACAGAGTACAGTTAAGAATATTTAAATAGGTGTTAAGCACAGACATACTTGGTTTCTTTTTTCAGGAGGCAGAGAAGGGTCGCCATCCTATTAATGAAAAAATAATCATTTAAATATACGTCATTATAACAACAATACCTCATACTTCTACATGAGTGTTTAATTCATTTAGAATAGAAATACATACTATAAGCTCTCTGTACTTTTTCTTGAGCCCTTGGTGGCGTTCACGGAGCTGGTTTGCCATCAGTTTAAACTGATCCCTTTCCTGCTGGCAGGTGTCCAGTTCTTTTGATAAGATCAGCAGTGCCTCCTTCTTACTCTCCAGCTTTCTCTTGCATACCAGGAACTAAGCAAACAAGGATACAACAGGGTTGTTAATGCTTCAATTCAACGCATTTAGTCACCACTGCCAGAAGAGGCAATGATCAAAGTGGGTTCCTGCATTGTTTTTTTTAGCAAAATCACCTAAGCTTTTTACTCAAAGGCCTCCGACTCATAAGTCTTGGTTACACTTTACTTTAAGGTGTCCTTGTTACACTGTAATTATACATTTGATTTAAGTACTGAGTAATATTATAACTACATACACTTACTATACGGTTAGGATTATGGTTTGGCTTATGGTTACTTGCATGTAATTATGCATAATTAATTGTTATTATAATAGTAAGCACATGCAATATGTGTAACAAGGACACCTTAAAATAAAGTGTTACCAAAGTCTCTTCCAAATAATATTGACATTTTTCCCATGTAAGTGAAAATATTTCTATTGGCACTTTTGTTCAAATGCTTAGAAGTTTCTGCATTTGAGAACTTTTCATAGAAACCAGAAATGTCAATAAAGTACAATAATTACCCATAAATTCTTTAATTTATTAATTTTGGTTATTCCAGATGTTCTAGGAACTGTGTGTTCTGTAAGTTAATAAAACATTTTAGTTGAAGGCCAAAAATAAGAAATATGATTTCAATTTACATTAATTCTACATCTTGATTTTAGTGGCTTTAGCCTTTGCTGAAGTTAAGATTATGTATTAGGCCTACTTATTATTATTAACAGTACCTATTATTAATATTATTATTACTGAATTAAGACATCATGCAGTCACCTTGGAAGTTGGAAGTAAAGAACTAAATCCTACTTTTAAATTAATATAACCTTTGAAAAGCTAAACCAAACCTTTGACATTTCTAAATTTGCCAATGCACTTGAGAAGGGACATTAAAGTTCACAATTTATTCAAAAGATTATGTAAATACATTCTAAGTCCATAGGGGCCTGTTATTGAGTTGTTATGGGTTTGAAAGTTCCCTAAATGAAAACATACAGACGACTATTTATATTTCTTTGTTATGTATTATTCCTGTATCCACCACTGTATTTTAAAATCATTATTTTAAAAATGATTTCAATTCCAGGTCCAAGCTGAGTTCAGCGCTGTTCATGGACCTTGACGTAAAAGGATGAAGATTAACGTTAATCCCTCAGCTGATCATGTCGTGTCAGACCTTCTGCATTTGATTTATTATGCTGCAAGGCATTTAAAGATGTAATAACATGCATGTCACATATACTATTCGATAAGAACAAGCGGTCTCGAGAAAATGACAACACAACACGGTTACAGTAAGAGGATTTCACGTCTCTGTAAATCAGCTAAATAATCTGATCGTATTTAGAAAACCTTTACACACGTCATTTGGGTAAATTCATTGAAAACCACATGAAATGGTTAATTTGAGCATCCTCTGTAGTGCAGCGCTGATAGTATGATTCATAGAGTGCAGATGAGCGCGAGGCATCATTATGTCTGCGTTTCCTACCTCATTCACCAGACCCTGCCAATCACTTTCGCTTCTTGTGGAAGGATTCATTTTCGGTCCGAGAATATTCTTCTAAAAAAAGCTGTCAGTTACAAAAACTGTCACGTCGTAAGCATCTATTGCGACGAGGATGACACGGTTACATGTTTCAGGTTTCATCAACATCGCGTCGTACATCATTTCCGGCTGGGATGATGGCCAACCGCAGCGTGTCGCTTTTAAACAGGGACGCGAAGTGACAGTGCTACAAAAGCCAAAGAATAATAACAGGTGTTTAATAAAGCTTCTTATGTTAAGTTATACGATTATAATAAACCTGTGGTCTCGAATAAAACTATAAATTGTTGTTGCAAGTGAATTTTTGCTGCAATACTGCTTCTGTTGTTTACATTGCTGTTGAACGCACCCCCAAACTTACAACGAATTTCAAACATCACTCGATTATAATTACACAGTGTATAAGATATAATGTATTCTATTGTACTAAAGTGCGATTAACTCATTTATATTGCTATTTTAAAAAATAAACATGGTCTCAATTAGTCTGAAAATATCATACAAGGTTATTTTAAACGTCCACCATAATTTCACATAACACAGCATATACGCACGTAATGTAAATAATAGAACATGAACATAATGCACAGCAGAAAAAAAATCATACAGACAGGCCTCTAAATACATAATTTATGTGCTTACTTTAAATGGCTACATTTGTGACCTGCTTATTCCTCTGGTCTTATTTATCAAACCTAAGTGCTCTGTCACAAAGAATGATGTTGCTGACTGGCTGGTAAAGTGATCTTTGTGAACATAAGCAGTTTCTCACTGTCAAGGAGTGTCGTGAAATGTAAGTTTTAACGTGCTTCTTTCTTATTATGTCCTGTGTTTATGTTGACAGTATGTGGAACAGTAATGCACTGAAGAAAATGCTAAACTGGCTGCTAAACCATTTGTCCAGCTGGCTTCCTTGTATATATACACACACACACATATATATATATGTGTGTGTGTGTGTGTGTGTGTGTGTGTGTGTGTGTAAATAAAAACAAACATGAATGAATAGAAGACGCTGTTTTATTTATTATCAATAATATATTTTCAAATGTACATCCAGTACCATCCTCGGCCAGCTACAGTAGTAAAGGATCATCCTCTGTTAAAAAAAAAATCATGAATAATAGAAAAACGCAATTTCGAAAGCTTTCATTCATCAAAGGCAATAACACTGAGGGCCTCTACTGAACAATATCACTACTCAGCACCAAAAACATGCTTGCATATAGTCAAACCAGCTCATTAGGATAAATTAGTTTGAAGCTGACAAGTCCACAGTCTTTTGGATTGAAGCCGGAGCACCTTTGGTGAACCTGATATATCACAAAGAAATGATTTGAAAGGGCCCTGATATAATCAAACAGTCAGGTATTTTCAAAGTCTGAATAAATGAAGCAGCAGAGCATTATTTATTTAAAGCTTTATAGAAAATGTTGCATAAATAGCTTTTGCAAGACAGAAGACAGGCATGTGCACCGGGTTTTGGCCTTTTTGTTGAAGAAACTTTACATTCATAAATATTATGGTTACTTGCATACATATATTGAAGAATCGAGTTTTATTTTAGCAATTGCCCAGATGCAACGAATAACAGAATATGCCTCATTTGCTATAATCCACTGAAATATGTTCAAAAACCTTGGTTTTGCCTTTGAAGCTGGTGGCCAGCACAAAATCACGCTGGTCTGTGGACAGTGCTGTGAATGAGCGTGGCCACTGAACATACACATCCCTGAACTTGATAAATTTCTGGTTTTCCTCATCCCACCTGAAGATCTGGGAGAAAGAATAATCACTGCTTAGAATCAAATAGTGCTGGTCTTTGAACTTGATGGGCTGTAATACTGTGGCGCCACGTGAAGGCAAGCCCTGTACTTCTTCAAAGTGTTTGCCCGTCCACTTCATGACTTTTGAGTCACCGATGTAGCAGGCGAGCGCAAGGTAGGGAACATCATTAATCCTAAAGGCCTTCACACTGACAATGTCGTCCATATTTGCTATCTCATCATGGAGAACAAACTTCTGATTGCTCTTGTTCCATTGGTAGATAACAGGAACCTGGGAACGGCTCACGAGTATGAGGACAGATTTGCCATCTAAATCAAAATACTCTGCATCGGTGTCACGAAACCATTCATGAAGGAACTGGTATGGGTAGAAACCAGTTTCATTCCACTTAAACAGAGTTGTCATTCCAGCTTTGGAACTGTCCACAATTAGGAAGAACCAGTCATCTCCGATCTGGAAGACTTCAATGTCATTCGGCTTGGACACATTAAGCATTTCAACTGCCTGAAATTTGGTGAACTTATTCTGTGCTTGGTCATATTTGTAGACGAGGGAGCCATCGAAGAGTTGGGAGACAATGACAAATGCCTGCTCGTTGATCAGAACAGACCGGCATCCAACAACAGACCGACCTGAAATATAATATATAAAAAAAATGAAATCATCATCTATACTCTTTCATTTTTATGACATATGACAAATGATTATGGAGTCAAACCTGTGATGTTATCAAAAGGCCTGAACTTAGTCTCAATGTGATCCCATTCCATGATTATGCAGCTGTCTGAATTTGGAACTGCCATAGCGACATATATATCATCTTTGTGAGAGAAGATATCTGCTGACATTGATTGAGTATTCACTATCTGGTACTGAACAAAATCTGAAGGGAAAAAGAACCAGACACATGGAAGCACATTCATTCATTGTCACTAAACAAGTGTAAACAAATCGTATATTTTTTCTTCACACCTTTTCACTGCATTTATCAAGACAATAAATGCAAAAATTCAACATAAAATCTGACATATCTAAGCAACAGAAATGTAGTTACCTGTGGAGACACACTTGCTGTGTTTTTCTGGGACATCCTTTAATAGGACGCCCTTCATGCCAGATGGACTGGCACAGTAAACATCAGAGATCGTGGCATTGGATCGTTTCAACCACAGCATCAGCCACATAGACTCACAGTCGCAATGGAACATGTTCCCACGCAGATCTCTGTTTATTAGACATGAAATTATCAAAACACTCTAAAAACTCTGCAAATAAACAAAATCATATGTGACTGCAAAATTATTGTTTCCCATCTATTTAGCATAAGTGTTGCCTTGCATGTTGATTACTTGTGCACATTTGTAAACAGTGAACTGAAAAACTCACAGTTCAATCAAAGAGCGTAGATCAGAAAAAAGACCCCTGGGTAGTGTTTTTAAATTGTTGTTCGCTAATGATCTGTAAAAACAGAGAGGAAATTAATCAATACAAATGGACAGAAGACTTTATGCAAATGTAATGTACATACATATATTAGATTTACCATATGATAAATATATTGTCATGTGAAGTAAAAACATGAAACCTATTAGAAATGGGAACATTTGGACACACTGTAAAAATAATCTGTGACATTTACGGTAAAATACCAGCAGCTGTGGTTGCCAGTTAAAAATCAGAAGAAGAAAAAAAGAAACCGTATTATGCTAAAGCCTGTTTTAGAACCACCAATAACTTTTTGTTACTTTTGAATTTTTTCATACATTTTTGAAAATTGTTCAGAAAATCAGAACTTCACCGTTAAAAATATGGTAGGAACATTTTAGGTTTTACAGACTTTACAGAAACGTATTTCATTAACTGATGTAATGTTAATAAACCAGCATATTGACGTACTAATATCTGTTTTAAACCAATGAAATGCTGATAACCACCAAAAACAGGTGGTGATAAGAAAGTCACATGATGAATCAAAGCTCATCACAATCAGCTCTTCCAAAAGCTGAGAAGGAAAATACTAATATATATATACATAGAAGGTGCACAGTGTCATTCACAAAAACTAAACACCATCATGGTAACACACATGATACTGAAATAATGCAATAAATATTAATTTAACAACATTAGATGTAAGATAAAACACTAATGTACACAACTGATAAGAAAAAACTAAGAAGAAACATAGCTATTTTAATGAAAAAACATAAAATATGAAGTGTCATGCAGGGAATTCTGGGAGTGTCAATTTACTGTTTTTCACTGTAAATTATATAATGACTGTTTCTTTTTCACCTCCAAAAAAATTAATTTTAACAGTATTTTACTGTAAAATTACATTAAATGTAATTACAGTTATTCAGCGTATATAGTATGGAAACTTACTGATAACCAATTAACAGGTTTTACAGTGCATATATGTCATGTATATCCATCCTAAAACCTGTCAATACATGTTGTGAATATATAAGTGAATATACTAATAAATAATCAAATATAGAATTTTTTTTTTTTTTTTTTATTAAAAAAAACAAACTTACAGATTATTTTTTTTAGAAGTTGCACATATCAGTAAAATATATATTGTTGACATATATGCTTGCTGAATATAATACCATATAAAATCATCATATAGATATTATTAACATATAAACAAATGTACTGTGGGGATTTCATATATGTAATAAACTTATAAACTTATCTTCATCTACCCAGAGAATGTATGTATGTGAAAATTATATATCGCCTTAGAGGTAACAAACATGACAATATCACTCTTGACATACAGCAATATATTACATTTCCAGTTGGTTATTTATACAAGTCAGGATGTTTAGGGACTTTACAGTGTACCTTATAATACAACTCAAGACAACACCAATATATCACATAATGTACTGACCATCTGAAACAAAAATATATATTACTTAGCCAACTAAATTAAATGATGCCTACCAGAAATCTGTCTAAAGAAATACAACCTAGCTTTTGCTCGCTGTATGCCATATACTTACAGATGTGTAACATCCCGAAGTCCTCTGAAGGCATATTTGTTTATCTCTCCAATCTTGTTACCTTCAATAAATCTGGTTGGAGAAATAAAATAAGACAAAATAGCTATAAAAAGTACTTCAACCAATAACCAATATTCAACCAATAGGGATTTTGATAAAGTGGTCCAGGCATCCAACAAATATATCAGTACTGTAAAGAAGTGAACATTTTTGATCATTTATTTAAATCAATAAAAGCTGTCCAAATACTTACAAATACTCAAGATGAGGAAGCCCTGAGAATGCCTCCTCCTTGATTTCAGATAATGAATTAGAACTAAGGAGACTAAGAAGAGAAAAGATGCCAGAATATGCAAGAAAATTCTAAAACATAAATATGACCAGCATAAAAAAGAATGCCTTGGATTCAACGTGTTAGTGTTTTATCATGCAGATAAACAGGTACATTTATAAAAAGTGATGCAGCAGTCACTTACAGTAACTGCAGTGAGGGCATGAGCGAGAACATAGCCTCCTTGATTTCTGGGAAACTGCAGTTGACAATACTCCTAAAAGATAAATATAATAAATTAATAAATATAGCTTACGCCACTTCTTTAATTTATTGTTTTGTACCGAACACTACGATGCACGTTCAGTTTCGAAACACAAATACAGGCTATATCCCACTATGTTCGATACAATTATAAACATTTTCGCAAATAAATTGTTAGGCGAACATAATAATATCACACTTACAGAGAGTTGATGTCACTCGGTATAGTCCGTGGGATGAGAGACGAACCGACGCAAATGATTGAATCTGTCGTACAAGTGCATCCTGAAGGACATTTGAATATTCGCTTTGATCGGGACAGTTGAAATGAACAAACGAGCAGTAAAGTTACCAAAAGATACTTCCGGATGGAAGATGGTTTATCGTTTGTAAGATCCATGGCTTTGAAGCGCAGTCGAAAGCAAACGTTCCCCTGTCCCGCACAGCAGTGAAATGCAGCATGAAGGGCTGACTTCAGAATCAGCAGCTCTGATGCAGTCAGTGCTTTAGACTGTCCCATTAGAGGAGGCATCACGAGTCCACAAAAAAATCTCAAAGTAGCCATGTAACTGACAAATCATACCACTTTTTGTTTGTGGTTGTTCTTGCCTTGAGATGCTTTTAAAACGTGCTAATTATATTGTTTTATCACACCTCTTTCTGTTTTTCTCTTTGCTGTTAACTGAAATAAGTTAAATGTCATATCAGCAAAATTGTTGTAATTCTTCTTCTGTTTATGTGGAGCGAGTATGAAAATGCACAAATTATCTTAGCAATGAAAACCAGAGTCAAAGTGGAAAATGTGGTAGGTGACGCAGCAGTTCTTTGAATGAATGGCTTCTATGTCTTGTGTATCAATAGTCACTGACTAATGTACTTTACATTTACTGTAGGCCTAAATTTACATTAATATGAGCTGAAGCTGTATTTACTTTGTCTATGTCCCTACATATTGCTAGATGATGCTGTATAAGTTACAACAATTTCTCTGGCAACCAGTAATAAACAGACCAATATGACTGCAAATAATGGACTCTACAGTACGCATAGCATTAATCATTTAGAAGCAGATCTGATTTCAGCATGTAAGTGCATTCTGTCTATATGTGACTGGGGGAGGTGCTTAAATTGATGACAGTGAAATAGCCCAACGTGATCTCATGATAATTCGTATGTATTTTACGTAAAATGTGGTTCTATAAAACGTACATTTACTTACGTTTTTACAGGCACTAAAATGTACAATACTTACGTATTTTCAGCCTCTAAACGTACGAAACTGACGTATTTTCAGCATTTTAACGTACAAAACTGACGTATTGACGACACCTAAAAATGAATCCTTATGAATATTGAAATCGCGGCATTAATTTTATTAGTTTTTAGTTGTCACATTAATTAACTTGTTTTCAATTGCTTTATTAAATTGTTTACTTATGAAATGATAACATTTCGTTTTGTTGTGATTTCTGCTGCCAGCTCGTTTTCAAGAATATGCCTACATAATGTTAAACACGACTTCACTTTAAACCTTAAAATAAATAACATTTCTGCAATCGTTTAACCTTTACTTGTCATGTAATGTTTACTTTGATTGTCGTAGGCCACAAAAGGCGTTTTCTCCGACATGCTGTGACTGACAATAGAACTATAAAATACACCAAAAACGCAACATAATTGCGAAATGAAACAATTTTATTAGTGCGCTGTAATCCAAAGCTTCCGAATCCATACGACTGCGAGGAACAGACCCAAATCCAAGCCTTTTATTTGGCGATCTGCTTCTCCATCCCAAGCAGCGAGTCCAGTCAGTGACCGTGAGCAGCAAAGCCCGCGCTGACTGACGCGCTCTTTACAAATTCAAATGTTGCCGCTTCAAACGACAGGTTTTACGGCAGGATTATCGAACGCTCATTGGCTCTCGCCTGTATTCGTCACAGATTGCGACATGCCGTGTTTCTGGTGAGGTGTATTTGAATGATGCGCGCGTTCCTTCACGAGTTCACGGAGTGGATCGGGAAAATTATCTGGATAATATTTTCAGCGATTAACAACATAAATTCTGCTCTGGATCACACAAACCTACTGTATTCCGCCAGAGAGGACTGCGGGTGCAACGTATCGTCATTTGGATTACTTTTAGTGCTGCTTTTGATATTTTTGCAATAAATAAATGATTGTAACGTTAATTGCATTTATCTGTCTGTTATGTTTCTTATACTGTCCAGAAATGTTTAGGCTTATAGGTAGGAGTGGAATTAGCGACTATAAATATGTTAATGCTATATTGTTACTAAAAGTTTTATTTTCCTGTGGATTTCGGTCATTTGCGTTTTATATCCTTTATATATATCGCTATAAAATGGGTAGGTTTAGGTTTGGGGGTAGGTTAAGGGGTCTAAAAATCTAAATTGCGTATTAATAAAATGATAAAAATGCATTGATATGAATATCTAAATGATATAAAAGATACGTAAATATTTTTACGTTTTTTAGCTAAAAATACGTAGCGATTTGTACGTTTTAAACGTTGAAATACGTCTAAATTGTACGTTTTAGCATGACTAAAAACGTACAAAAGTGTACGTTTTGTGCTTGTAAATGTTACGTATTTATACCTACGTATAAACATGAGACCAGGCTGAATAGCCTCTACTCCTACAATCTGTCACATTTAGGCTACTGAAGTACATATGCATAAGTGGTTTTCAACTGGTTTTCCTGCAGACCAAACTCCCAATGCATCAACAGAAAACAAATTGCCATTACAAACTGCAAATGCACAGGTACCTATTTGCTGCATAAAAAAAAAACGGCGAATCAATACAGACCACGTCATCAGAAATGCTCATCAAAAACTCCCCGTCATCAGACAATTAAGGAAAGTCGAAAACCAGTCAGCAGTTTAGTGTTTTTAAACGGCCATTGTGAAGATTGTTCTAACAGTGTCCATCAGTATGGCACAGAAAGGACTCATAGGTAGGTTACTGATCCCCCTTTGGCACATCTAATGCACCAATAAAAAGATTAGAATGGATCCAGCTCACCCAGCGCATAAAAGAAGCCTGAAATCACCAACAGCTAAAACATCCTGATTAAAGGACACTTTAAACAGCTGTCAGGGTGTTCAATAAACATCTATATTTTAATAGTTTTTTTAATGTAGATTGCACATTCCATTGTTTAATGTATATTGTACTGTACATCTCACCAGTAGTGATTACTTGCAGATTGACAAGCAATACAATTCAGTTTTGTCCTGTTATCCATTTTTATTCTCTATGCCATATTATTATACGCCATTCTATAAATAAACAACTAAACATTATCATAAAACGACTTCAGATGATCCACTTTCCAAACGCTTTCCCAGCTCATTGTTGTCCACTCTCTCCAAACACCACAACAAGAAAATTCCAGAATGGAATCTTCATTGTGGAAGAGCGAGGGCAGAGGCGCGTGCCTGATGACGCAGTCACTCTTTTTGCCGAGTATCATGGGAAAATAACATAGCAGGCTAGCACGCGCAGGAAGAGAGGAGAAGAGCCGACAGCTCCGCGCAACGAAACTCTTCCCGTGCGTTATATTCCTCGTTAACCTCCTCGAACGAGTGTAAACCGGCGACCAGAAGCCGTCTTTGACTGGCCAGCGTATCGCGAAGTGTTCACGGTTGTTGTTGTTTGTTTCAGTTGTCGGCTTGTTGGATATTTAGCGCGTGTCGCTGTCGAGCGAGTTCGCGGAAGAAGAGGTGGGTAGTTCAATTTAACGTTACCTTTCATAAACCACTACAGGCATCCTCCACTCTTTAATACACCAAATATATTTCGTATTTATATAAAACGACTCCTTGTTTTGCCCTAGCTGAAAATAAAGAAAAAGTCAGTCAATTCCAGGCGATTTAAATAGATAAGGCACGGTTTGAAGCCGGTTAAGTTTAGAGGGGACCGTCTTTTCTGCATGCTAACCTTTACCATGTCTCTCACCTCTTATACGTATCTGTATATCTACTCTTTGTGTTTCCATTAGGTCAACATCGTTCCTTCTTCAGATACTAAAGCGCATCGAGATTACGTTCAGGAGATAAGCAGAAAGTTTTCATCAAGCGAGGTTACAGTCGACGGCGGTGTAAATATGAGTTACAAGCCGATCGCCCCCGCACCCACCGGCTCCAACCACACTCCACCAGGTGAGTTTCATTGTGCTCTCGGTTCATTCATTTCTTTTTTACATTCATATTTTCTCCATTTGAGGTATTTTTTGTCCATCTTTTCAAACGCTCCGTTTTAATCCTGGAGAAAGGGGTCAGTGAACTTACTGTAAAAGAGGTCAGAGACACGGATAAAGGGGGAGGAGTTAAAGGAGCCATAGCCATCTGTCTCGCTCATTACATTAATGTGGTATATTGTGCTGCTAACCGTACCCTATCGCGATTACGTTTAAAAGCTAACGGTTTTCCTACTCATTTGTGAGTGTGCCATGCCATCACATCAGTGCATCTAATATTGGCTGTACTTTACCTCACTTCCTTTCATACAAACACTGGGTGGCGAGATATCATTGGTCGAGTGTGGCCTTTTGACATTTCCTTGATTTGTGATTGGTCTTCCTCTTGCTCTCTGGTTTTAGGATCATGTGGCTCATCTCCATCACTGGCCTCCTCTTCTAACTTTAGACCAGCATTTAGTGACTTTGGTCCACCATCAATGGGCTTTGTACAAGTAAGTTTATTTTCTGATAACAGTGGGCTTTTAGATAAATTTGCTTACTTGAAATTATGAGGATAAATGCACTAAGGGTCTGTTTTATTTGTAATAAATACACTACTGGTTTGAAATGTTTGTTTGAAACAACTTTTTTTCAAGTTGTTTCTTATGCTTACCAATGATGCATACATTTAATAAAAATACAGTAACATACAATAAAAACTGATATTTTGAAATATTACATTAAAATAAAAAAAGTTAAATTAAAATTTTTTAAAAGTGTAACTTATTCTTGTGATGGCAAGGCTGAATTTTCAGCAGCCATTACTCTAGTCTTCAGTGTAACAAGATTCTGAATACCTCTTCTATTCAGCGAGGGTGCAATAAATTGATCAAAAGTGACGGAAAACGTATGTAATATTATAAATGTCGTAATTATTTCACATAAATGCTGTTCTTTTGAACTTTGTGCTCATCAGAGAATCCTGATTTTGTTTTCACCAAAATATTAAGCAACAAAAACACTAATATTAAGAACCATTATTATCAATAGAGCACCAATTTATAAAAATTGACCACCAAATCAGCATATTACAAAGATTTCTGAAGGATCAGAAGGCGTAACGTCAGCTGAAAATTCAGCTATGCCATCACAGGAATAAATTAGATTTTAAAATATATTCAAATAGGAAACTGTTATTTTAAATTATAATATTTAAAAAGGTAACTGTTTGCACTGTTTTTGATCAAATAAATGCAGCCTTGGTGAGCATAAGAGACTTCATAAAAAAACATGTATAAAAATCTTAATTATTCCAAACTTTTGACCAGTAGTGTGCATATGTATAGATATATTCCATTATATATATCCACCTTATTCTTCCCGTAAAAATGGGCGCAGCCATTTGTAAATGTTATGGGTCTTGCTTCAGGTCTCATTCGCTTCCAGCTATTTTTAGCTGTACAAAACAGCTCGTTTTGCTGCTTGATATTGCCGATTGGTCTGTTACCATATTATTTTAATGAATTATCTTAATTATGAACATACTGGTTTGTAGTGCAAACAGTTTGACCATTTACTGCACGCTGTAATTCTTCTCGTTATTTTCCTATAGCAGCTAATGAACCGGAAGTCTCGCCCATAGGCTCACTTCCGTGTTGAAGAATGAGGATACACCTCATAAAGAGGATTTATATTACTCCGACATCTCTTGTTTTTTGTAGCCTGTTAAAGTGTCCCAGGGATCTACCTATAGTGAGCTGCTCTCCGTCATTGAGGAGATGAGCCGTGAAATTCGTCCTACCTATGCTGGCAGCAAAAGTGCCATGGAGAGGCTGAAGAGAGGTACTCCAAACCCTTTGGCATAAAGTGCATGCAGTACATTTAGCCCCCTGGAGTAATGTGAGCCTAAGGGCAGTTGTGATAGTTTTCTGCGTTTTCAGATCTGTGTGAGATCAGACTTGCAATGCTTCTTTTGTCAGCACAAAGACGTTCTTACTAAGCTACCTTTAATAGGTTGTAGTGCTTGTCTCTGAAGTAAAGTTAATATAAAAAAAGTGTTCAGAATATTTATAATTCCAGTAGCCATTAATTACAGTGCAAGTAAGCCACTTATTTGTACTATAGGTAATTTCTTAAAATTATATTGTTGATTAATTATTGAAGTTGCACTACCTGTAAAAGTTGTAACTTCTAATGCCTGATATGTAATGCTTATTTTAGTGTCAATTTATTGTATACATCTAAAGACAGTATTTTACAATCTGTGCTACCTGGTTCATTAGTAAATGGCCTGTCAAACAACAAAACTACTTATAGTAGTCATTTAGCACATTAGCACTTAGTCTTGTTATTTGGATAAATGTTTACTTGTTTGAAATGGCTGATATGCGTTTCTGTCTTTCATCAGGTATCATCCACACACGTGCTCTTGTCAGGGAGTGTCTAGCAGAGACAGAGCGAAGTGCTCGCACATAACATCCACACACACACACACACCCTCCCTCTGGTACTTGTCTCCCCATTGTTCTGTTTCTCATAAACATGCTCCTTCTCTTTGCCAAGCTATTTACAACACATCTTTCTCTTTCTTATTGACCTTTGTCCATCATGCATAGCTATCTCCCCAATGTACACCTCATGTAGTGTTAATGTGATTAGCATAGACATTTTTTAAGCCCAATTTTTGCAATTCTGTATTTAAATAAAAAAAAAAACTAAACAAACTGTCACATTTTAAATTCCACCGAATGCAAGAATTGCTTTTGTAAAGTGATTTTCAAAGCACTTTATTTGGCTTCAGTCACAACATATGCAGAATAGTTGCAACAATACCTATTTAAAATAATTTTGAAAATAGCTATTTATTTGTAGTGACATATAGATATAACTGACAATTCAATTCATTAACAACAGTTGAGTGAATATATGTTTTTAGTTTCAATGATGGGGAAGTGGATACTTTTACATGTGCCACAGTGTTATTATTGTGTCTTTCACTTACATATTTCATAGGCCTTCTAATTTCCTTTCTTTCAATATTAAAAATGTATACATATAAAGACAATGAAGGTAATAGCAATAAAAATGAATAAACACGATAAATACAAAAGATTAACATAAAAATTGAGGGAAAGGGGGATATAGTCAAAGAAATCCTATTTAACCAGACTAGCATTTTATCTTCAGATTGCCTTTCAAGTTTGGTTCGTTCAGACTGCCCTTGTTAAAAAGCACTGACCTTAAGGAACAGGGTTCAATCTGTGACAATTTCTATCAGCTACATCCAAAGACTGAATATACAAGGTAACAAGACAGTAAGCTGCTATTTACCTCATTTCTGGTTCACAGGAGATGCAGATCCCATTAGCAACTCAATGAAAATGAGCATTTTTCAATAAATGATGGGTTACTCCAGGGATAAATGGATGAATTCAAGTGCATTTAAAGCTATGCACTCCTCAGTGGTGTATCAATTTACTAATAAAACATGAGGAGGTGATAAATTTATCAAGAGTGCATGTGCTCCAACTTGACAGTGGCCTAACTGCGTCCTTATAAATGTAAAATTGGACGTTCATCTTTGTTTCAGCCCTAAAACGAGAGGAAAACAGCACAGTACATTACTTAACTGAGCAGCTTTTGTTTATCAATATTCACTCATTTAGATTCTGTTTTTGAGACAGAAGACCGAACTAACCGTGGAAGCTGTAGCAGAGGCTTTGCTGTTGTAGTTGAAAAGGTTTTTGTAGCGTCCCTTCTCCTCTTTCTGTTTTTCCCGAATGCGATCCTCCATTGTCCTCAACTCCTTTGCAACTGAGGTTTCAAGTGATGGGTCTAGTTCAATCACTTTGGCAAAGTCAGCTCTTGCCTCTGCTTCGTTCCATACCGCTGCATGAGCTTTCCCTCGTTTGAAATACGCCTTCACATTATCTGTGAGAAAGACAAAGAATTAGTATGGGCACCTGTATTACAATTGATAAATGTTACTCATGGTGGGAGCACGCTCATACTAAGTCTTGTTTAAAAAAACAGTAGTATTATTTTTAGTTAACCTTAACTTGTTTGTAGAACATGATCCTAGTGCAGCTTTTTAATAACCTAAAAATACCGTAGAAGTTAAAATAAGCTTCTTTGATATGCCTGGCTGTAATTACAGCTAGACTTGTAATCAATGAACAAAATGGGTTGTTATAAAGAACTTAGGCTTGGGGGTATGTGAGTGTTGTAATTGTTTTGATATTTACCATCGTACTTGTTGATGATAGAAGAGCAGTGGTCCAAAACCTCATAGTACTGGCCCAAAAGATGCTTGCACTGGCAATAGTTGAGGAGGAGAGGAGTGATCATGAGATCTAGTTTGATCCAATGGTCATCACCCGGACGCTCCTATAAACAGAGAATATGCTTATAGTAAAATTACCAACCTTGAGGAATATAATAATACACTTTTGGCTAGGGCTGCACAGTAATGGTTAAACTGATAATGATTTTTTTATTTGCTGAAATTATAAATCATGATTATTCATCACAATTGTTATTATTTAGGAAATTTCTAATGAGCACAGATCAAGAGAATGTCAGCTCATATGCAGTAGTTATTTTACCCCATCTAGTTTCCTGCCTTATTATACACATTAACGCTCTAAATGATGAAAACTCACAAAATCTTAAAAAGTGAAATATTAATTCCAATAATTCCAAATAATTTTATTATTTTGCTATTAAACAACCTTGAATTGTAGCACAGAGGTTGTGTTATTGCATGTACTCAGCTACCACAATTGCAAACAACATATGCAAGATTCATATTTGGATTTATTCGTTTGTCAATGATAAAGTTTGCTCACAAATGTAGTCACAGCAAACAGCTCAAGCGACTTGTAAAGGAATGCAGACTGGCTATATGACACTTTCATTTGAGCAGAATATCTCAATGGAGACTGCTTAACTCCAACATACATGTTTGTCTGTGTTTTCAGAGCATTAGTGCTCTTTTTCAGGCCAGAGAGCACGTGCACATGGTTATCCACTTATTTACTAATCTGGGAGATTAGGTAAAACACTGGGAGGAAAATGTATCTATTTATTAGAAAAGGTCTGATTGGGGGATCTGACCTCTTATCATCTGGCAACCCCAAGCATGAACCTCACAAATGTAGTCACAGCAAACAGCTCAAGCGACTTGTAAAGGATGCAGACTGGCTATATGACACTTTCATTTGAGCAGAATATCTCAATGGAGACTGCTTAACTCCAACATACATGTTTGTCTGTGTTTTCAGAGCATTAGTGCTCTTTTTCAGGCCAGAGAGCACGTGCACATGATTATCCACTTATTTACTAATCTGGGAGATTAGGTAAAACACTGGGAGGAAAATGTATCTATTTATTAGAAAAGGTCTGATTGGGGGATCTGACCTCTTATCACCTGGCAACCCCAAGCATGAACTTTGCACTGATTTGCACCTGGACTTTAAAGTGAACTCAAAACTCTTTTCTTTTTTTTTTAGTTGTGATGGTTTCTTAGTCCACATTACATTAACACTGGTGTTTTTAGGAAGCCAAACAATGTGAAAATAATATTATTTTGATATTAGAGATAATAACAATGATAATCCTATATTAAATGGTTATTAAGACAGGAATATACAACTATTTTAATACAACTGCACTGTAAAAATTAATATTTCGTATTAAGTATATTAATTACTTTACTTAACCGTTGTAAAATCATGGTACTTATGTCTTATTTTCTCACTTGTAAGGGTTAAAAGTAGAACCATGCTTATTTTGGCAGAAAACTCAGAGGAGACCTCCAAGTTTCTGTGACAGCAGGTTTACAAATACTTCAGTACAAATCTAGTGAACTGCTGTAAACAGCTGTCAACAAAATATTAGAATTTATGCAACTGTAAAAAAGTGAACATGGCGCACACTGCATACTGTGGCAGGACAGATTCACAGTCTAGGTAATTAATGAGAACCAGACATTGCTCAGCAGCTATTAAGGCTAACCTTCATCTGTAGGTTCTTCAGACAAGCTATGGCACTGTAGTACTTCTCAGAAGCTGCTGAAATATCTCCACTCTTGAAGAGTGCATTTCCCTCCTCATGGATCTGTGGTATGACCTGCAGTTTCTCCTCATCTGTCATTGCCCATATTTCCAATTGGTAGGATCCAGGGGGCAAGATCTTAGGAAGATGAGAACCAGAATCATGAATCAGCTTCATTAAAAAGATCAAGTGGGAATTACCCACAGCTACTTTGTAATTTAGTATATTTGTTGTTAAATTAGTAGAAATGCATATTATAGTTCAATTAAAGGGATAGTGATATGAATGAAGCTCTTTCAGTGGTTGAGCACAATATATTTTGAAGAATGTTGGTAACCAAACAGCTGACAGTAACCAGTGACTTCCATAGTATGGAAAAAAATATTATGGAACTCAATGGCTACCAACATTCTTCAAAGTATCTTGAGCAGAAAAATTAAACTCATACAGGTTAGGAACAAGTAGAGGGTGAGCAGATGACAGAGTTTTTAATTTTTGGGTGAACTATCCCTTTAACACATTAAAATGCACATAGAACAGACAGGAATTTTATTTATGATGCTGTTCATGTGGTTATCAGAGCTCTATGTCCATTCTCATGTAAAACTGCACCTCTAAAAATGAGATTACGCTACTGTTTCTCACCTCTAGCATTTCCAGAGTAAAAACTAGAGGCTGAGGATTGACCTGCAACTTATCCAGATCGGGGTGACCCATAGAATGATGCGAATGAACCTGAGCTATTCCACAGCAGTGTCTCTGTCCTTCCAGTGGGTCTTTTCCATGGCTGATGTTGCGTAGTGACAGAGAAACCAGAGGGTAGAGAGCTGTGTGCTATTACAGTAAGAAAAAAAAAAGTACTGAGTCAAAATATCAGAAAGAATAAAACAATAATTTGTTGATATTTACATATGTGACCCTGGACCACAAAACCAGTCATAAGTAGCACAGGCATATTTGTAGCAATAGCCAAAAATACATTGTATGGGTCAAAATTATTTTTCTTTTATGCCAAAAATCATTAGGCTATTAAGTAAAGATCATGTTTCATGAAGATATTTTGTACATTTCCTACCTTTTTTGCACCCTCAGATACCAGATTTTCAAATGGCTGCATCTCGGCCAAATATTGTCCTATCCTAACAAACCATACATCAATGGTGAGCTTATTGATTCAGCTTTTAGTATAAATCTGAGTTTAAAAATTGACCATTATGACTGGTTTTGTGGTCCAGGGTCACATACAGTGGGTACGGAAAGTATTCAGACCCCCTTAAATTTTTCACTCTTTGTTATATTGCAGCCATTTGCTAAAATCATTTAAGTTAATTTTTTTTCCTCATTAATGTACACACAGCACCCCATATTGACAGAAAAACACAGAATTGTTGACATTTATGCAGATTTATTAAAAAAGAAAAACTGAAATAACACATGGTCCTAAGTATTCAGACCCTTTGCTCAGTATTTAGTAGAAACACCCTTTTGATCTAATACAGCCATGAGTCTTATTGGGAAAGATGCAACAAGTTTTTCACACCTGAATTTGGGGATCCTCTGCCATTCCTCCAAGTTGCAGATCCTCTCCAGTTCTGTCAGGTTGGATGGTAAACGTTGGTGGACAGCCATTTTTAGGTCTCTCCAGAGATGCTCAATTGGGTTTAAGTCAGGGCTCTGGCTGGGCCATTCAAGAACAGTCACAGAGTTGATGTGAAGCCACTCCTTCGTTATTTTAGCGGTGTGCTTAGGGTCATTGTCTTGTTGGAAGATAAACCTTCGGCCCAGTCTGAGGTCCTGAGCACTCGAGAAGGTTTTCGTCCAGGATATCCCTGTACTTGGCCGCATTCATCTTTCCCTCGATTGCAACCAGTCATCCTGTCCCTGCAGCTGAAAAACACCCCCACAGCATGATGCTGCCACCACCATGCTTCACTGTTGGGACAGGTGATGAGCAGTGCCTGGTTTTCTCCACACATACCGCTTAGAATTAAGGCCAAAAAGTTCTATCTGTCCAATACAGTCTCAACAGTGAAGCATGGTGGTGGCAGCATCATGCTGTGGGGGTGTTTTTCAGCTGCAGGGACAGGACGACTGGTTGGAATTGAGGGAAAGATGAATGCGGCCAAGTACAGGGATATCCTGGATGAAAACCTTCTCCAGAGTGCTCA